AAGTTCAAGGACTTTCAGATAGATGGCTCACCTTTGGCCTATGTATTCTCACATGAAAGCCACTTCAGCAAAACTCAGGAGTCCAATTCAGCTTTGCTGTAACTGGTCATGACTCTCTTGACTTCAGCAATGCTTCATATGCTTACACCAGGTCTGAATTTATCCCTATGGTTTCTCGGTCACTGGTCCTCCCTTCCAACTCAGAAACTGCCTACATAATAAAAGTGATTCATTAGGAACCGCTGGGTTCCAAAGTAGAGTGAACATTGAGACCTATAACTTTTTTATATGTGCTCAGTCATAAAAATGAATTTATATGGTCTTATTCCATGAACTCACTTTACAAATATTAGACCCACAACCACACTTCCGTGAGTTGTAATCTTGTCAAAGCTCATAAGTTAAGCAAGGTCAGAATTGGTCAATATTTGGATGAGAGCCCCCGGGGCAGGGGGAGGGAGATAAGTATATACTCTGGAGGTCCTGTTGCATTTGTAATCTAGGGCTCCTCTCTGAAAGGATTTTGTATTAGTCTTAGACTATAACAGAATGTTTTGTATTTGCCTTAGCAATAGGTTAGGCTCTGGCCATATCTGTGCTGCATCTTGGCTGTTTCAGCTAGTATCTTTTTCCAGAGATGAAGATTATGTAGCAGATGAAATCCTCTCCCCCACTACCACCCTTTAATCCAGCATGTAGCTCTACAAACAAAATACTTCCACTGTTACCCATCACCCTCTCCCTGAGGGGTTTATTTCTACTTATATTATTTCTGCATTGTCTATGCTTTATCTAGCAAAATATACCTAAGAAATACAGCTCTATACCCAAGAAAAAGCACTCTCCCCTCCTTACCTTCTCCCATAAACAGCTTTCTCTGAGTCTCCCATACTCTCACCTCTTCTTACCTTCCCCCATAAATAGCTTCCTCTAAATATCTCATGCTCTCCCACCCTTTTGAGCTGTTCCTTCAGGTGCCCTGCCCCTCTCCCAGGTGCATGCTATGTACTGCTCAAGTACCTTTAACCTTTTATTGTGCTGGAGGAGCTTATATGTAAAAGGACCTTTTGCTATATTTTGTGAAAGTATGCTTAGGCAGAGTAGTACGTAGTCAGAAAAGACACCTAAATAACTGAAGGTAGAAAGAAAAAGCATTATACAGTTACCTTCTGAGAAACAGCTTAGCCATATATTTGAGGTAATACATGGATGCAGAAGGGAACTGCAAACCTACCTGGCTTTGCCTAACACTGGAGTGCGCAGACGCCAGCATGACTGCTCTTCCAGCACACTTTGTCACTCTATTAGGAACAGCTTTTACAGTACAGGGGATAAAATGGGAAAGGTCACCAACCCTGTACCTAGCAAAGCAGCTGTGCTACAGTGGAAGGACTGCAAGTGGGCATGTAGGTCACAGGTGGAGAGAGGGGAACTGCTCAGGCAGGGGTTCCCTCACCCCCCTGTGCTGCATGGCTGCTGCCTGCCAGCTCACAGCCTGCCCCTTGCACCAAGGGGGGATGAGGAAGGGCACTTCTGGAGCTATAGGTTTATGTGGTGGTATCTCATGTCAGACAGCTGCTGAAGACCAAGCCTCTTCTTATTCAAGAAAGTAATAAATTCGGTGTTAAGAAGCTGGATACCAAATTAGACAGATCACTAACAAAGCTGTTCCTAAGATGCGCACATCAAATACAGTGGCATGGAGGAGCTGTACATCAAGGGGTTCTCATGCAATAAAATGGGAAATAAAAAAATGCAGCCAAGAGGTAGAAAACCCTGACCAGGCTACAGCCAAATAAACAGTTTTGGGAATAAATTGGTGGTTTTAATCCGGATCAGGAACAGGTGCTATGACTGTAATTCAGTAAATGGTCGAGAGCCTGGCAGAAGGGAGAAAAATGTGTTGCTTTTGAGATAATTTCCCAGAAGCTTCATAAAAGAAAATTGATTACTGGAGTTTAATAATTAAAACAGGGCCAGATATATAGTAGTCAAATGAGGTTTTAATTACATCTCAAGCAGAAATAAAATCCAATTTGTGTACTTTGTATCAGAAAAGTCTTACTGAAATGCTTTGGTAGCTGGAAAAATAAAATAAAAGCTAATTTCCACAGGAATTATAGTAGTTGGTTTAATTAAAATATCTGATCAGAATTAAAGAGGCACAGAGTGAAAGGATACTAAATACAGAAGCAGTGGCTTAAACATCAAATCAATGACTGAATAAAGACATTTTATAGACTAAGTACAAAATCTGCAGTGTCAAGTATCCCTAATATAAATTAATGTGTAACAAAATAAAGTTTCTTTAAATTACCACATATTTTGAAAGTATTTCATAGAATTAACTGCGTGTGCTCTGCTAAAAATGAATAACTAAGACATGGTTTATTCTTTCTTAAATACTCTTTTTAATTTATTTAATCAAAGTTAATGTTATTAGTTAGCCATTATTGTTATTTACTGCACCCAGGTTATTAGACTCTGTAATACCCACTTTGCTATGTATCTCTAAGAAATATATGTATCTACTTTTGGATTTAAAGTGTATTTACAGCTCATAACATACAGTGATTACTGCAGAACTATGAGGTAGCTTGTTGGATCCATTCCCAATCTATGTGGGCTTCTGGTCTCTGCTGTAGTGGATGCAAAGCTAATTGATCTAAACAGCTCAAGCACTCACACTCCTCCCAGCACTGTACATGAGAAGGCTGTCTCCTATCATAACAGTGTGGCAGATGCCTAGGCCTGCAAGGACAAGCACAGCAGTAGGTCATGCCCAGAACTCTGCATTTGCTCCCTGGCACTAGGATTGAAAACATCATGGTCTTGCGGTCAGTCTTGGCAAAAAAAAACAGTACAGAAAGGACACAGACATAGCATGGCCACACTGAGACAGAGGGCACTGTCCCAATGAGCTGCTTCTCCTCTATGTTCCCTGTAGCATGTTGCTGTTACAGCATTTATGACAGGAACAACCTGTACTGCATTTTGGGCTTACAGATGCTGTGGCAGACAGAATGGCCTCTTTGTGCTTACAGACATTTGAAATACACTGATTTTTAAACACTGATTTAAATATAGATTTTTAATTTTTATTTCTTTTTTAATCTTCAATGTATACTTGGGAAAATACCCCACAAAAACTTTTTCAAGATTTCAGAAATACCAGCAAGCTTTACTGCCAGTGGATGGATACTGGCTTTGCATAGAAAGGATCTAGTATGTTGCTTCTGAGAGCCGAGTATCTAATGCGTGACCTCTAGACACTGAGTTAGCATTGGTAATGCCTGTGATAATGATAATAGCAATGAGGTTTTTCAGGTATTTTCAGGTTTTTGTAATATATTACTACCCCCCTGTTTTGGACAACAAATGAGGAATACACAGTGCTCTGAAATAAAGAGATAAATATGGCGAGCCCTGAGGCACGGTGTTGGGAATGTTACGAATTCACATCCACTCTATCAAATAAATGACTGTCACCAGCGAGCAATACTATATGTGGCAGAGACTGCAGTGAACTCTGCCTCCTACTCCAGGCCCAAGGCTGCAAAATTATCTGCCCACTCTGTGCCATACTCCACGGAAATAATTTCAAGCAGATTTGCTTCAAGTTCCATACAAATCAGCTTCTTATCCATGGCGTGATTTTTCAGAAGTGCTGAGCATTCATATTTGCTACTGAAGTCAACTGAAACTGCAAGTTTTCAGCACATCTTAAAATCAGGCCATTAACCCTTAATTATCATATAATAGCTCAATTAAAAATCTAGCAAGACTTACTTCAGCAGCTAACCAAGCTCCCATGGCTTGCAGAGTAGCTATAAAAAATCCAGGTTTTCAGTGGTGTCTGGGCTCCAGGGACCATTAAAGTGGTTGTTGTTAACCCTGCTATTTAAAACAAACAATGAAAATTATCAACTGTAAAGGTACCTGTTTCCCCTTTCCTTCTTTTCCTTATAATTTTCTTCCCTTCTGGAAGAATAACTTTTGCTGTCTTCTCCATCATTACTTTTGGTTTTTATCTTGCACTAATCCTTTATTTCAAATGACAAATACGTAGCTTCCAAGCTATCAGAGAAAACATGATACCCAGCTCCCAGCAAAACTCACTTCTTGTTGATCAGGAAAGCCACAAAAGAATAATAGTCCTCTGTCCTGAAAGGGCACATTACACGACCCCTTGGGAGGTAACTGCTTAACCCTTTCTTCACATCCAGGTGCTGCTGTCAACAAGGTTCTGTCTCTCTTTAATGTAGGAACAAAACCAAGTGAAGCACTTGTGGTTTCCACATAGGAATTTGGTACTAAACAGAAAAGTAAAATAAACTTCTGGCAAAGGTGTGCAGGAATTACATAGTTTAGGGGCTGATTCACAGCCAGCTGAAAACGGATAACATGTTCTTACTGGCTCCTGTGAACACTGGACTGGGTATGTAGCAAAGAGGTGATTTTAGTGCAGTCTAAAATAAGAACTTATCTATCTATCTGTTTTTTTATTTATTATGAGCACATACTAACTTATTTTTTGCCAGCTTTGGAAAGCACAGTACGGCTGTGGCTTACTCATCCCCAGGAAATAAGACTCTAGCAACTAGGGAGAATTCAGAAGTTCTTTCAGCTTTGTCCAACTGGACACAGGACTTCTGGCTCACAGATGTCAGCAACCAGACAGTCTCAGGCGCTTGGAGGATGCTTCAGAAGGGCTGTCTTTAAGGATTACAAGAAAGCTAAAGTAGTCGAGCAGCCACTCTGCCACCTTATGTGCTGGTTTTTTTGACATTTTTGGTGGCTTAAAGCCTCAGGTAAAACAAGTGACATAAAGAGATCTCCATGGGAACAATAAGCTCTATCTGCACAGGAGTTTACAGCTGGGGGTGTGGAGGGTTGGCACATGGCGCAGATTAAACTCTTTTTACCCTGTTACTCCCTGGTCTGTCCATCAAAGGAGTGGAAATACTATCAGTATTTTTTTCTCTTTAATCTTCTTCCAGAGTCTGGTGAAGCTGAATGTGAAACTGAAGCCTATGCTGGACTCTGTGGCGGTTAACAGAGGTAAATGGGAGGAGCTGCACCAAAAAAGACTTCCTTCTCAGGCAGCATCCTCGTCCTCCCTTTCCTCTAGCTTTACTGTGTCTCTCAAAGACATAAATTAATCCTGCAAATGTCAGCGTCGCTTTACGGTAGGAGCTGTCTGAAAGGTTTTGGTAAGCTTAGGCCCACCATTTTTTTTAAGAAATGCTTTCAAAAGCATGCTTAATTGATTGGATATTATCTTGATAGCAGCATAGTTTGCTTTTACTTAGTGGGCTTAGTGGGACTGAAAGGAAGGCCTGCGGTGAGACTGCGCTGGTATCTGGAGTGACATGGAAGACTCAGCATAAGAAGCATTCATTCAGCTCCACTACATTTCAATTGCTGCTGTAAAAATCTGTAAAGCTGACAACAGACTGAAATATAAGAACTTACAGCTTAATAAAATTAATAAAACACAGCAGAACTGGGATGCAAGCTGGTCAATTCATATGCAAGGAGCTGCAGGAAAACAGAATAGTATGTAATTATGTTGTTGTTTTGCATCTCTTCAGTACATGTTATGAATCAATTATGCCTGCTTTTGTGATGTCCCTCTCTCTCTTCCCTTCTCTTTTATGCCTGAATGTTCTGAAAAGCCTGCTTTGTATTCTAAAGAAGTATTTTTTTACAACAAAGCTTCTTAGTGATTGATCAGGGCCTTTAGGATTGCCTACCTTTGCTACATTTAAAAAACAAACTTTATTATCTTTAAAAGCACCAACCTGTCCCTGCTTCCCTGAGAAATTCACATTAACGATGCAGTAAACTTCTTAGCAAAGGAAGGTTTGCATAAAGGCAAAATACTGCAGAGATTTCTTCTTTTTCTTTTAAAAAATACTCTTTTAACATGTTAACTTTAAAAAAAAAAAAAAGAGTAATGGGCTTTAATGAAAATACAGTACAAATAAAAAAGGAAGTCTGTTGCCTTGTCCTTCAGGTTTATATTACATTGAAAATTAGACCATGGATGAGCCTTTCCAGTATAATTTCCAACTGAAATTTCTATTTTGAAATGGAGAGGAAGAATATGACCATACTGGAGTGACTGCCTCTTCCTTCTCTTTCAATACAATTTAAAATGCTATTACAGCTAGCCCAGCACCAGTCAAGGCTTACATGGAGATGTCTGTGGCAGAGGTGTTCAGAAAAATCTAATCAAACATGATGGGTCACAAAAACAGCTGTGTCTAGTTCTGTGATGATGTTAGTATTACCTGAAAGTCGGTCTCTTTCCATTAGTGCAAAGATCACTAGTGTAGCAAAACTGTGATCTATGATTTCAGGGTGCTTTCTCTGCTGCATGACCCGACACAAGAGGAGTCATGCTGCAGTGCTTATGAGTTCCCATTCATAAGGAAAAAAAGCCTTTGTACTCCATGAAAAATGGGATTCTAAATATAGGGTTGTCTGGCAGCAGAAATTAAAGCTGGATTCAGCTAAGTCTTAACACCTGTGTCAAACTCCATTTAATTCAATGGAATTACTTTGAACTAACACCAACTTAATGGAAATGAGGGCCTGGCCCAGCTGACCAGATGCTAAAAAGAGCTTTCCACCTTCCTAAGGAAAGTGAGTCATTAACACCTTTGAAAAGCTGACTACATTTGTCTGACAATCAAACAGAAACAGCAAATCTATTGATTACTCTTTAAAAAATTCCCAAACAAACCACAGCAAAACAAACCCGCTCTGTGGTAGGGATCATGTGTACAGGAGAACAGCTGGAGATAGCAGTACCACTGCAAACCAATCTGTTAGTATGTAATTGGACCACATCACCTTCTGTAGCAGAAAGAAGCAGAAATGCAGACTGCACAGCAGAGAATACATGCACCGAATGGAAATGTTTCTGCTATTATTTTACCACTTCTTTCTTCCCTGAATAAAGACACACATAAGATAGCAAGCAGCAAGCCATACAAAACTTACCACCCGTACTTTATAGGAAAAACAGATACGAGGAACTGCCATAATTCTGGCAGGTACACACACCTTTCCTGAATTTTGATATTGCATATTGCTAAGTATAACATAATTTATAATGTGTACCCTCCAGCTTCCCCCAAGGTTGAGGCTCCCCTCATTTCCTCTCCCTTTTATTGGCTTCAGTGCACTGTTGCCCATGGCAACACCCATGGTGCAGGGATGGGGATGCAGCAGGGCCACAACCTGACATACAGCTGAAGCTCTAACAATGTCAACCATCAATCAAGTGACTGTTTGTAATTGCCTCCATCTATTTCTCCTGTCTTTCGGTATCTTTGCTATTGTGGGTCAAAATTCAGAAACTGCTGACTAATGTTACGGTTCTGTTCCTCCATCACAAGGAAGAAAAGGAGAGAGCACTGCTAGATCTTTATCAAATTGTTCTCAGGCAAACTGAAGCAACCCTACTGAAAGCAGGGGAAACAGTACTGCACCTCAGAACAGCATTTGGTCTCTGAAAGTGAAAGAGCTCAATCTTAAAAAAAAACAACCAAAAAAAACCAAAAACACCTCATACTTTTTTTTTTTTAACACTTAGCTAGGGAATTGGCAACAGACTTGCATTTTTGTGAGACAAAGAGGATTCTTTGTGGAAACATGCGGTATAGTAAAGAAACATATTTCAGGTTTCTCATGTTTTAAGATGGTGAAAACCACTTTTTAGCTAGTGCTTACAAGCTTGATAGACAGAAATTATACCTGCTTTTCATCATTTCTGATAGGGCAACATTTCCCAGTACTCCAGTCAGTTCTGCCAAACGCTTCCAGAATGTGCACAGATGACTCTCTAGGCTGTTAAATAGGCATTATCTGTCTTTTACTCATTTCTCTGCTCACTGCACAAGGGGAGATCAAAACCCATTGAGATTGGCTTAGTTATGTGAATGCACATAAAGCACAGGTCCCCAAGAGGTGAAGGCAAATTAGAGGGCATAAGCAGAAGAGGACAGAGAACCCACTGTTACCCAGGACAATGCTAACATTGCTTGGCCTTTCCCTGGAGGTGCCCAACGTATCTGGTCTGCCTCAGCAAAAAACAAGTCATCGCTTTTTTGCCCCAGCAGTTAGTGGAAATTTGGCCTTGAATGAGGGCTCTAGCCCTCATTTACAATTCCAGTGCTAAACTGTGGTGAGCATGTGGATCATCTATAGGGTCACAGGGGCTTAATTCTCCCCCAAATTTGCTTCGAGCTAGTTCAACAGCAATGCCTGTTTCTAGGTGTCCCACTCACTAGTGCTAATGGCAGCCTGAATTCAGTCAGGTTTCTTGTCTTCTGAATTGCAGGCTGTGCAGTCTCACAGAGGCCAGCCAGCAGCCCTTTATCAACAGAACATGCTCAGGAGAAAACCTGGGTTTTCATCCCCATCCTCAAAGATGGGTCAGGTCACACAGTAATTCCACTCAGGACTCCCACCTGTGAGACCGCTTAACAAAATCAAATTTTCCTTCCCATAAAAAAGAAAAGCTTCTATTTTCCTGTGTAAGTGCCCTAGCATTACATAGGATAATTGGGAAGGAGCCTTACATTCAAATCCTACTTGAATCTGGAGGAGATTTCAAACTGCAGCTGCACATTCCCCACCAGTCTGTGGGGAGTCACAAGGGTGGGCTTGTCTCCTGCCCTCTCCATAAGCAAAGGAGTGTGTCCAGCAGGGAGACAGGATGCCTGCTGGGTACAGCCCAAGCACCTGCTTCACTCCTGGGAGATGCACAGAGCTGACTTTGGTAGAGGAGTTCAGGAGGGGCTTGTATGCACATCCTGCTGGAATGAAATGTGTCCCCTACAACACAACACTGTGACCCCACCAGAAAAACAGAAAAGCTAACACTGTCCAAGGCAAGGAGCCCTGGGGTAGAGGCTCTCCTACTGTGGTTCAGATAGATGTCCTTCCTCCCAAGAACAAGAAGTGAAAGAGGTATCCTTGGCCATACTTTGAGTAGTAAAATCAGACGATTTCCTTACCTACAGGCAAAACAGAACAGCTTCAAATTGCAATCGAGATGAAGACATCTGCTTCTTTCTGTCAGGAGCCAGGTTTGCTCCTGCTCCAAAGCAGACTCACACTTACACGGCCAGACAGCAGCAGCACACAGAAGTTTAAGCTGGATGCCTCAGGTGGCAACTGAACACTGAACTCCCCATACAGCACTGTCACAGCCAGTCCCTACTGCACTGAGGAGGTCGTTGCTATGGTTTGTACCCTGCAGAAAACAACCATAGAGTAGACGAGTATGTTTCATTTTAGCTCAGGTATTCCTGCAGATGGTGCCCTTGGTACAGCAGGTGCACTTTTCTGGACTGGTGACCTTCCTAACTGCTCCCTCTTATAGTGCACTGCAATCTCGTAATGTGCCTGTAGTTATCATCAAAGCCAATGCTAGTATTCACAAACTACTTTTGAAAACTGCAACCAGCAGTGCCTAATGCAACTTGTAATATTTAGATTAATTAATCCTGGTGGGAAAATAGGCATGTTTCAGCCTACACGCCAAATACTTATTTTCCCTTCATAAAATTAAAACCATTTTAGTTACTGATAGAACATTTATGCATTGAGTGACATTTTCGAACAGGTTTATTTCAAGGTTATGTAAAATATACTAATAGACACTACCAATGCTTAGAGTTCTGGGCAAGAAAATGTAGTGCGAGGAGATTTTTATTGGCTTTAACAAAGAAACAGAAGATTTTAAGAGTAAAATCATGTGAATGGTTTCTAATATAACAATGACGTGGGGGGTATAAATCAGCTGAAATGAGACTCCAGACTTCCATGCCTTGAATGTGCCAGGACTGGAATACATCACATATATTGCTTATTACCTTTTCTTTCTTGGATTACTTTGTATTTAATTACCCATTTAGAAGCATGTTGGTCACTTGTAGTTGTATGGGGAATATAAGCTCTGAACCTTTGCCTATGGGAAACAACTGACACACGCACAGAAATACTGTGTGTATGTTCTAATGCAAGTGAACCCTATGTACTTTCCAAATGTGTAACTTCAGACTTCTGGATCCTTTTTCTTTTTGCATTTTAAGACCATTACCCTCACTGTTTTGCTTTAGTAGATCAAACAATGCTGATTCAGCTTTTTAGAGCATGGTTTTGAAATTAACAACTCGATTTTATTGGTCTCTCTAAAAAGAAAAAAAAAAAAAAAGAATAATAAATAATTTTAATGGTTTGCTGTGATTTTTTTATTACTACTATTTTACCTTAAAATAGTGTTGCCAGGATGAATCATACAATTATAGAATGGTTTGGATTAAAAGGGACCTTAGAGATCACCCAGTTCTAAAGCCTGCTGCCATGAGCAGGGACACCTTCCACTACAGCAAGTTGCTCAAAGCCCCGTCCAACCTAGGTATCTGTAGGCAGGTATATATATATTTATATATATGTATGTATGGAACCCAATTACTGACTCATGCAAAGAGAAGAGCATGAGAACACATGAGACTGAGCAACCCAGATACCATTTTTGAAACAGGACCTTGCAGCCCTTGTTCCTGGGAGCAAATGTAACCTTGCTGGATATTTGGCATTAGCCTGGAATGACCAAAAACCACACATGGCTGGTGACTCCAACAGTTATTTACAAGCACAGAAATTGCCCAGGCTGTAGAGTCTGTGATACTGGATATGCCATTGGTCAGTAGAAATACTGGGGGGGAGGGGGAGAAGGGAAATATCCCCTCAAAGAACAATTACATTGCTGAAAATAATTTCAGAAAAGTTGGAAATTATTTCTTCTACATTTTCACAGCTGCAGAAGAGCTGACAGACTGCGCTAAGGTAGAAACATCCTTCCTTGCATCAGCCCTAATCTTTGGAGTTTGCTAGGCTGTAACGGGGATGTTTCCTGTCCAAAAAGCCCAAGACAGAAGTAAAATACCAACTGGCCTGTGTTCCAGGACTGCATTTTTAGCATAGGCCGTGCTTTTACGCTACCACTCGCTGCTGGAGAGAACTTCTACACAACATTTATGAGGAAACTAGAGGAGCTGGTTCTGATTTTATTCCTTCCAGCTGGCAGCGCAGTCAGGAGGAGTGAACTCTCAGACAATCTGTAATCTCCACAGAACAGCCCTTTCACTGCTCGGGAGGGAAAAGCACGAAGGGCAGTCAAACATCTGAGTACACAGCTCCTTTCGCGGGCACCACCTCCCATAGACACCACGGCGGCGGCACAGACCGGCACACACCGGCCGCGCCACCCGCAGCAGATGGCCGGAAGGCGGGCTGTCAGAAGGGAGGGAAGTGAAGAGTGCAGCACAGGGGGCCCAGGCCTACTCTCGCCCCCATAGAGATCCCTCTCATCGTGTCCTCCGCCGCGGGCACTACAGCTCCCGGCGTGCCCCGCGGCGAGCCGGCGGCGCACCAGCCGTACGTACCCGCGCTCGCATCGGCAGCGTCCGGGGGAGCGCTTCCGCTCTGGCGGCGCCGTTACCACGGCAGCAGGGGGCACGGGTGCAGCTCGGCCTTCCGCCCTGGCGCGGCTGTTGCCGTAACAGCGGCAATGGAGGCCGCACCGTTGCCGGACGGGCAGTACACGGCCGTCGTCTACGGGCTGATTGCCGGCGGGCGGTGCGCGGAGGCCGTGTCGCTGCTGAGCCGCGAGCTGCAGAGGAGCTGCCGCTCCCGTGGCGGCCTGTCTCTGCTGGGCTACTGCCACTACCAGCTGCAGGACTTCGCGGCGGCAGCCGAATGCTACGAGCAGCTGGTGGCGCTGTACCCCGAGCTGGAGGCGTACCGGCTCTACCTGGCGCAGGCTCTTTACAAGGCCGGGTTCTATAGTGAAGCCCTGCGGGCCGTCAGCCCGCTGCTGGACCTCCCCGCCTACCAGGGCCGTGCCCTGCGCCTGCAGGCGGCCATCCACTATGCCCAGGGAGACCTCGCGGCGGCCAAAAGCCTGGTGGAAGAGGCCCTCGCTGCCGCTGCGGACGACGGCCCCGGAGCGGCCGAAAACCCCTCGGAGCGGGCTGACGCCGAGATCAACCTGGGCTGCCTGCTGTACCAGCAGGGGCGGCACGAAGAGGCCAGCAGCAAGTTCGCTGGTGCCATGCAAGTGTTGGGATACAGCCCTGAGCTGTCCTACAACATGGCGCTCTGCTGCTATGCAGCCAAGCAGTATGCCCCTGCCCTCAAACACATCTCCGATATCATAGAGCGTGGCATCAACCAGCACCCAGAGCTCAGCGTGGGCATGACCACCGAGGGCATTGATGTCCGCAGCGTAGGCAACACTATGCTCCTGCACCGCACGGCCCTGGTGGAGGCCTTCAACCTCAAGGCAGCCATTGAGTACCAACTGCACAACCTGAAAGCAGCCCAGGAGGCTCTCACAGATATGCCACCAAGGGCTGAAGAGGAGTTGGATCCAGTCACGCTGCACAACCAAGCATTAATGAACATGGACAGCCAACCCACTGAAGGGTTTGAGAAGCTGCAGTTTCTTCTGCTGCAGAACCCCTGTCCACCAGAAACTTTCGGAAACTTGCTACTCCTCTACTGCAAGCATCAGTACTATGACCTGGCAGCTGATGTGCTGGCAGAGAATGCCCATCTGACCTACAAACTGCTCACACCTTACTTGTACAACTTCTTGGATGCTATTATTACTTGTCAAACTTCCCCTGAGGAAGCTTTCTGCAAGTTAGATGATTCAGCAGGCATGATGACTGAGCAGCTGAGAAAACTCATGAAGCAAGTACAGGAAGCTAGGCAAAACTGGGATGATGAAGCTGTAAAAAGGGCAGTTAATGAGTATGATGAGACTCTGGATAAATATGTAGCAGTCTTGATGGCCCAGGCAAAGATCTACTGGGACATGAAGAACTATGCAATGGTAGAAAAGATTTTCCGCAAATCAGTGGAGTTCTGTAACGAACACGAGGTGTGGAAGCTCAACGTGGCTCATGTGCTCTTCATGCAAGACAACAAGTATAAAGAGGCTATTAGCTTCTACGAACCAGTAGTTAAAAAGCACTATGACAACATTCTTGATGTTAGTGCCATTGTGTTAGCTAACCTCTGTGTCTCCTACATCCTGACAAGCCAGAATGAAGACGCGGAGGAACTGATGAAAAAGATCGAGCAGGGAGAAGAGCAGATGTCTTATAATAATCCTGATAAAAATATCTACCATTTTTGCATTATCAATCTAGTCATCGGGACCCTCTACTGCGTGAAGGGAAACTATGACTTTGGCATAACAAGGGTCATTAAAAGCCTGGAGCCGTATAACAAAAAACTGAGCACTGATACATGGTATTACGCCAAACGGTGTTTCCTGTCCTTGCTGGAGAACATGTCCAAGCACATGATCATGCTATGTGACAGTGTTATTGAAGAGTGCATTCAGTTTCTGAAGCAATGTGAGCTGTATGGAAGAAACATTCCAGCTGTCATTGAGCAGCCCCTTGAAGAGAAGAGGTTGCACAGTGGAAAAAACACAGTTACCTATGAGGCCAGGCTTTTGAGGGCACTGATGTACAAGATAACTGGATGGACTCCCTAAATGTGATTCCCTATAGCTGAAATGAGAACTTTGTGTCCGTGCTTTTCTGATGCTTATAAGATGGTGCTCACCCTGGTAGTCCATAGCAGGGTGGGTTTCTCTAGATTGCTTACCTTTAAGGATTGTGTTCAGTATTTGAACAACATCCAGTGCAAAATAGAACATTTGCACAAAATTAACCTGCACCAAATAAGTAGGGGCATTCTCAGTAATCTGGCATGTTAAATACACCTTAAGATGTGTTGACCAAGAATTTCAGTACAGAAATACCATAGTTTTATAAAATATTATATATATGAAATATATATTTTATATGTATTTTGACCAAGATTCTTTTCATTGGTTGACAGTTGAAAAGAATTTGTTACCCACCTCTTTCAGCACAAAAATTGAAGAAACAGTCGTTTCAATTCTCTGATTTGTGCCTCCGTATGAAATGTTTTTCTTCTGCTTTTTCCACGGTATTTTTAATGTGTTACAGACCATGTTTATGGTATATTTAAACACAAAAAATGGCTTTATGATAAAAATCAGTCGTACAAAGATTAACATTGCCTTTTGCTAATTTGGTAATAATGCACAAGTATTCTGGCAGATTGTATACCTAATACAGCGACCGGGAGTATGTTCCATGTATATTAGGAGGGTACCGCAGTGTAGGCCTGCCCTTGCAGTAAAGTTTGTTATGAGTGGACCTAACTGGTTTCAGAGGCATAGCTCAGTGCTGCCTCTTGGCCTCTGCACCCCCAGGTGCCCATGCCTGCACTGTGCCAGTGGCAGCTGTTGCTCTGCAGACCTGTTTGGTAGCAAATGCTTACTTAGTAACACAGTCCTGTTTGCAGCCTGGCCTGTCCCTTCGATCCAAATACCATTCCTAAAATAACAGCAGTTTCTTGTAAGAGACTGTGAATGTGAAATTGTTTTCCTCAAATAAACATGTAACTTCCATTTCATGCAAGGTTTATGACTTACACCCTTAGATAGAAGTCTTCTTTTCAGTTTCCTCCTTGTGTTGCTATTCCTACATCTCATAACACCTATCAGAAACCCTGTTTATTTGCTTAATTTCTCTACGTGGCATCTCCATCACCCTGGCATCAGTGAGTGTATTTTCTCAACAGTGTCCCTGTAATTTTTCCACCATATTACGTGTTCCACACTGAAGTGAGACAAAACCACCTTTCAGCTCTTTTACACAGTGTGGTTCTGTGCCTTGTGTCTGCTCTCCTGTTCATGTGTTCTGCCTCCTGAAGCAATGCATGACCTGAAGGTTTTTCAGTAAGGATGAACTACCTATGGCTTTAACACGTTTGCTTAACCTTTGATACTGGCTCCCTGAAGGGCTGTCATGGGGGAATTCTGGAATCAGACTGCATGTCCCTCAAAATCCAATTTCTGTGCTGTGGTTTACCTGGAAAGAGAGAGGACAGCATTTAAAAGTTGCTCTATTATAAAGCAATAGAAAACTTAATCCTTCTAGAGGATTACATGGGGACTGAACAGGCCTGCAACCATTTCAACATACAGAAAATCAACTCTATCCTCTGGGAGAGAAACCTCTCAGGACTGAGCATATTGTCTGTAGCTAAAGGAAGCAGCTGCGGGTTAGGTAATGTTACAGTTTACCCTAAACTTCTATAACAGTAAAGTAAAATCACATTTAACAGTGTCAAGAATGGTAAA